AAGTCTGTCATCCCTTCATCACGCTCTCCATCTCTCTCATACAGCTCATCAAGATGAAAATGTTAACCGTGAAAATCTAATTTGATTAGTTCAGAGAGACCCAAACCCAAATATTCCCACATTTAATGTAACAACAAAGCCAAGCAGCTCCCATGGAGTGAAAAGAGTACAAGTCTTACTGTGTTGAACTTTCTATCTGTTCTCAGTTCCAGATGTTATTTTAACAGTAGCTTGATCTGACATAGAACTCACTGGCTGTTCTTTCTTAGGAAAAAATGAAGACAAATGAAACCAGAGACTCCTGGATACAAACATGCCTGCTGCAGGTTTAGTGACTGATTCTATCATCAGCAAATAAAATTAAAATTTTGATTGCAGAGTTGCTTAAATATCATGATGTAGCCTAATAAAATGGACAATTGCTTCTGAGTAAAACAAATGCAGTCATATACAGTAGTGAAAAACTAGGTTTTGATTCCAGCTGACTGATGGCACAAGACTCCCATGTCACGTCTGGAGGACTCGCAAAATTTGTTCAAACTTCAGAGAAGATTAGAAATAGGAGAAAAATTGTGAATACAAAATGTTCTCCCTAATTCACTTGTACGGACAATTTAAGAAGGAATTTGTTTGTACGAACGCTTCTGCCATGAGGCCCAATGTCTTTTGCAGACAACAGGTTTTCTTCTAGGACCACCAAGCATTAAGCTCCATTCATTCCCTCAGCAGTTTAAGGAAACCACCCAGCAGGATAATGGAATTGGTTGATTAAGGTGGGATCCCCCTAAGACGACATTTTTTCATATTTTCCCCAAAAAATTATATCCTGATCTTTTACCAGAACATCTCCATCCTTGTAACTCAACAGCTTGATTTAATCACTAATTAGACTTCTGAGAGCAATATTCCATATTTATTTTATTATGTCAGGCTTTTTAGATTCTTATTTGTAAAAAAAATATATATATATATGTTACAAATCTCACTTTCACTGCACAGTTGTACATTTTGTTGTCATATAAAATGCCCCAAAAACAAAACAAACAGTTTTTGGTGATGAAAAAATGTATAAAAACATTTTCAATGAATCAATGTTCGACAAAAACCCTGTTCCAAAGCATATTTAGCTTTTTCTTATTTCCTTTTTTTATAAATTGAAAAATAAATTAGGCGCAGCCCTATAAAAGAGGGGGTCATGTACGGATTAATGTGTCTAACCCACATGCAGAACACTCGGAGGCAGAAGAAAAGTTCAAAGATTTATTTACAATAAATGTACAAAGTTTGATCAGATCTAGGAGGGGACTTGACTGGTCACGAGTGGGTTCACTGCTGAGGAGGACAGAGAGATTAGTAGAGGTGCAGGTGTTTTGCAGGTTGAGAGTGTTCAGGTCTGTACCTGTTCAGGAGTGGAGCAGAGCTGCAGAGGGGGGGAACCTTGAGGGTCCAGAGGTTGTCGGCAGGCTGAGGGCAGAGGCGGAGGCAGAGCTTACAGAGTGCAGGCAGATCACAGATTGAGTTTCCTTTCAGTAATCTTCTGAGAGCGGGCAGGCAGATACTTGACAGAGACAGCTCTCCAGAGTTCTACTGAGAACGAGCAGACAGATCACCGGCAGAGAAACTCTCCAGAGTTTCAGGTATTCAGGCAGGATCAACCTGGGAAGCAGAGAGGAGAAAACGGGATCAGGTTTGGTTCACAGAAAGTCAGAGATCACAGACAGGCAGGTTGGCTCAGGCTTGCTAACCGCTACTGGCAAACACTCTGGCACTGGAGTGAAGCCCTCTGCCTCCTTAAGTACAGATCTCCTGATGAGCAGATGGGAGACAGGTGGTGTGGTCGGCTCAGGCTCCAGGAGATCTCGTACGCCCTCTGGTGGAGAAAGTGGACAAACCTCCAGATCCCAACAGAGGGGATCGAGCGTTTTCTGTTGCAGCTCCAAAACTTTAGAATGGATTGCCACTGCACATTAGACAGGCCACCTCTCTGTCTCATTTTAAAACTCTTCTTAAAACCCACCTCTTTTCTTTGGCTTTCGACACCATGTAGAGTGTTGATTTTATGTATACACATGTTGATTTTATGTATACACATGCATATTTTTTATCCTGTGCGGGCAGTGCTTTTATTTTATTTTATTTACTTTTATTTATTTTAGTTATTTTATCTTTTTTGTGCAGCACTTTCAAACCTTGTGTTTATTGAAATCGTGCTTATATAAATAAAGTGGATTGGATTGGATTGGATAAAATTTTGCCATCTGGTTTTTGCTTCAACTTGGAAATATGTACAGTATCTAGATGCAGTGATGATTTGAAACAATGAATAAAATTTCAAAACAAGGAACACCTATTCTAAATAATCTGAGTAGAAATTGTTCTGGTTCTCATTGTTATTTCAAATTGTATATTGAGTTCTTCAAGCTCCTTGAGAGAGAAGAAGAAATGTAGCAGAAAAGATGCCCCTCTGCTTAAAAATCTGACTTTCTATTAAGATATCAGCTTGATTGACAATACATGCATATGTGTCATTAAATGATCTTTTATTATTCCTTTCCTGTCTCAAGCACTGTGAAAGATTGAGTTGATATGCTTTGAATACCCTAGGATGCTCCATCAGGAATATATCAGTAAGCTCACAAGCAAGAGCAAGTGCAGCCATGTGCACCAAGCCAAAATAAACTATAAAAATTATAAAAAGTGCAGCAGACTGGCTGAGCCCTCTCATTTGTTTTAATTATTGAGCTCTTTTTCTGCAGAGACCTCATTATTTTTGAGATCCTGCAACAGGGAGAGGAGTTGGAGGCGGTTGACAATCAGGAAGCGTGTTGGAGGTAGTATAATAGAGGCACAGCATATTAGAGGCAAACTGACAATATAACTTTTTTCTAATATTTTCCATTTATATGTATGTTTTAGATAAATTATATGCAATCATGCAGGGACGTGCACAGATAAACACTAGGTGGTGCCAGAGCAACCTCCTCCTAAAAATGCCCTCCTGAAAATTTTTTTTATTTTTTTTTTATTAGGGCGTTGTTTTGGGTAGCATATCTGAATTTAAAGGTCTATATTACCAGTGTGCTGCTGTAGCACCACTTCTTCTCTCCTTTCTACAGATCGACCCAAACAGGTTTCTTAAGGTCGATACCGATAACGATTATTTCTAAATTAGAAAAATCCAACACTGATATTTTTGGATGATTCTTGAAGTTGATATTGCTTTTTTCTTCCTCCATTTATATGATAAAAATTACAATGTTAGCATTTTGTTCCTGGCCAGGGCAGCAAAAATGTCTTTGCTGTCGATTAAGGAATTATTGGCTCTAAGAATCTGCCAAAAAATATCACTAACACATCGGGGGTCAGACTGATGTCAAAATAATCGGCATCAGCCTTAGAAAAATCTGCATTGGATGATTTTTACTCTGGAATCAAACTGTCTAAAGGGTGACACATTAGCATTTTTATGCCTCCCTGCCTTTAGAGCAGACTTCCCTTTTCTATTTCGATCGGTTCTTGTTTGCAAAATTATTACTTGGAGAAGTAATTAATTAAGTAATTAAGTAATAGTAAGAATAATTGGTTGCCTATGTTGTAGAATAGCATTTTAAAAGATAAGAAGTAAATCATATGTGTTGGGTTTCTCTCCACAAGCGGTTTGATGCATTTTTAGTCCTTTTCTCCATACAGAACTGAAGTTATTAAGTCAATTTTGTAGGCTAGCTTGTTCACAAACACACATTTTGACCTCTGCCCCTAAAATTTCCGTTGGACTGAAATCAAGCTTTTTGTGGGAGGCACTTTAAAACATTACATACGTTTACATGCGCAAAACTTTCCCTGATCTGATCTCAATCTTGGTTGATCGGAAATTTAAAATCTCTGTTTACATGGAAACAAAGTAAAAAGATCCAATCATGACGTATTAATACATGTGCCAAGCGTTCAATCAGATCCTATCATTTGAGCAGAAGTGTCTCATTTTCCAGAAAAGTAGCCCTCACATTTTCAGTTCTTTGGTAGTGTCTGTTGATTTAGTTTTTTTTCTTTTTTTTTTCTTTTTTTTTGTCTTGTCTTTGTATACTTTTGTTTTTGGTGGTCATTTTGGTAAGGCGAAGGACTCAGAAGGACCTTATGCTAATGCTCCAAGAACAGCAGCTGCTACTGTTCTGTGTGCCACGCAGTGAACATAGGTGACTTCACTGAGAGGGGTAGCAGCAGATACAAGTGATGGTTTAAGGACTTGAAGAGACAACCCGATTTATAATTCAATCCAACCTTAGAATCTGAAGAGAATTTTATTTCAGGTTGCTGTTTAACGTGTTGGTTAAAATGATACAACTTTGTACATATTTACATTATATCCCTTTATTTGGCTATAATGGTGATTTATATTTACTTTGTGATTTGGAAGTAGGAAGACAGTGTGACAAAGTCTCAAAGGTAGTAGCATCTCAGTGTCTTTTATTCCCTATTGTCTGTATGTGTCCCCTACGTCCACTCTTACAGCCATAACCATTACATAAACACTTTATTATGTCATATCCTGACCTCGACTACAAGCTTTGTAGTTCATTATTCAGCATAACGTTTGGATTAATCCCACATGTTATTTGGCACAGCCCACTGTGGTGGTATTTTTCTAAATTTGATTAGTGGGATATTCTTTGACATCAAGGTTAGCAACACTTTAAAGCTACAGTGTTTAGTTTTCAGCGACATTTAATGGTCAGACTGCAGAGACATGAACCCGCTGCAGTCTGATTTCAGTCAGTCATGGAGTCATTAGTGTCTGAGTTGAGCTGGATGCCGGTCGCTTCTGAATATCCACAAAGTCCATCTTGAACATAAGGCGTTGATTGTTTGCTAGGTTGAACCCGTTTAACATGGACTTACTTGGCGAAACATTCCCCAGAACCGCTCGGGAACTTCCAACCTGAATTACATTGAGGGATAATAGACTTCAGGCTTATAGAGCCATCGGCACTGAACTAGTGAGGTGTCAGTCTGTGCATCAAACCATGTTCTAGTGGCAAAGTGGCAATTAAAAAGGTTGTTTAAAGATATTTTTCAGTAAAAACTGTGCACGTATTTTTACACACACACACACACACATATATATATATATATATATATATATATATATATATATATATATATATTGAAGTGTATTTTACCAGCTATGACTCTACATCATCTCTGACTTTAAAATTGATGCCTGACTGCAAATAAAGGAGGAAAATTTACATGAAAAAAAAAACAGGTTTGAAATGCTGTAGCAGCGTTAAGCTGTTCTGTTTTTTCTGTACATATCCAACATAGTTATTGCTTTTTTTGTTTCAGGATGGATGACATTCAGCTCTGCAAAGAAATTACAAGGCTGAAACAAGAGCTGCAGAAGTTTGTCACAATTCCAGGTAAATGAAAAAACATACGGTATTCATTGAACAATCTCATCTTGCTTTGTGTGCCAATTTCTCACATTGTTGCTAAACCAGCCATATTACTCTGAAAAGACGTTCTAATCTCCTATGAAGATGTGCTTTTGTGACTAGTGATTACCGCAGGATGATGACTGACAATTTAAACACCTTCAAGAGTCAGCATCTCTTTATTCTAGGCCATCATTCTAATTTCCTTTGAGTTCAGCTTTTATTATGCCATGCTTTAAAATGTTAAACCTAAAAGGGTCATTTTTCATATTATTGGGATTTAAGTATAACAGCAGTAGCAGCCTCTGAAAACATTGATTTTCTTTTTATTTAAAAAAAAAAAACTCTTTACTGTCTTAACATTTCAGATCTTGTCACAGATCAATTAAGTATTTTGGGATCCAGTTTCACTCTAACCCTCAAGAGATCAGAATTCATTTATGAGAATTACCTGTAGTTTTCAATATTCTGATTTTAAGGTCCATTTTTTATCTGTTTGACAGACATAGACAAATCTGCAGAAGACAGAGAGAAGGAGGAGGAGCTACTGAAGCAGATAAACAAGCTGGTGGAAACCAGAGACTTCCTGGTTGATGATGTAGAGTTCGAAAGGCTCAGGTGAGAATACAAAAAAAATGGACTTAAGTCTTTTTCCTATCACAAGTGAATGTATTTTATAAATGCAAAAACATGTCAGTTGACAGATATAAAAAAAATTACTTAAAGCTATAGAGTTTAATGATTATAGGCCTGTATTGACAAAGCAGAGCTGACAAACTAGTGACAGTAGAGATCGCCATGACATTCGAATGGGACTGCGAAAAGTTAGGCCTTTAATAAATTAGTATTTATAAAAAATAGTATTTATAAATTTATCTATGAAAACATATCTTATCATCACTTGACAAGATAGGTGATGCTAATGTTTTGGAAGCCATTTTATACCATGATGGCCTCATTATTGTAAGAGAGGGAGAAGCAGTTCATCTTTTTTTTTTTTGTCCTTTCTCTTAAAACTTGTTTGTTCTCACTTCTTTTTTCAACAGATCCTCTAACTGCTCTTTTGAAATTATTTTTTATTTATAAATGATGGATCAAACCTTTCATTTTTTGTATCAATAAGTCTGAAATGTACATTTAATAAAGTTGATCATAAAATATGTAATTTACTGATAAACCTTAAAAACAAATATGTGGGATTTTTTTTGCTCTTTGATAGATCGAACATTGATATATTTGATATTATTCTGCATTATAAAACTGAGCAAACAATGTGGGCTTCTGTCCCATGTGGATTTGTTCAAAGGTTCAATCTGGAGCCGCTTTAATTCAGTTTTTACATGTTGCCCTTAGATCAGATCAGTATAAGCACTCCTTCAGTGCCCTACATAATTCAAAATCAGAGAACTACACTCATCAAGGTAAGAGTTGTGCTTATATTCTCAAAACATTGAGCTTTTTACTAGTGCAGACTTGACTCCATCAGCACTACTTTATCTGGATCTAGATCCTTTTATGGTGGCATTCACAGACACGATTTCAAGGTGGGCTGCTCAGTGGCACAGTTGGTAGCACCGCTGCCTTGCTGCAAGAAGGTTCTGGGTTCAATCTTTCTGCATAGAGTTTGCATGTTCTCCCTGAGCATGCATGGGTTTTCTCCAGGTACTCCGGCTTCCTCCCACAGTCCAAAAACCTGACTGTTAGGTTAATTGGCTTCTCTAAATTCTCTTTAGGTGTGAGTGTGGTGTGTGAATGTTTTTTTGTCTTTTTGTTGCCCTGGGATGGACTGACGACCTTTCCAGGGTGTACCCCGCCTCTCGCCCATTGACAGCTGGAGATAAGCACCAGCACCCCTCGTGACCCCACTTGGGAGTAAGTGTGTTAGAAAATGGATGGATGGATGAATTTCAAGGTGCAGCTGGTTTGGGATCTTCAGGGTTTAATCTTTAGCTTTTATTTCAGACAAATTGGTTTGGCTTGCTTCTTCCGACATTGAGGCTGTATTAGATAGATAACCAAGATAGCTACTGGTAAGAGTAGGGGAAAAAGGTATTCTCAATTAGATTAAATATGCTAATGAGAGCATTTATTGTTTTCCAAAAGAACATTAAATTAAGAAAGAATCGTAAGACTCATAAGAAGCGAAAAATCTTTAAAACACCAAAGACGTGCTTTGCATGCTTTAACTTTCATTGTTGGAACTATCTCTTAAGATCTATTTAACAAAAATCAGATAGATGGACCATCCAACATGCTGCCAGCTGAGTCCTGACTCGCATCGAGAAAATAAAATGTATCACTTTGGTGTTGTTTGGGCCTAGATATATGTCTCCAGTTCAGCAATGGGAGAGTGAACACACTGTTTACTTGTTTGCTGGGACCAGAAGTTAATAGGGAAAGTCAGCATCCTCTTCAACTCTGAAATCTTACTTGAGATGCACAGAACCTGCTGGCTGCTTTAATCTATCAGACAGAACATCAAGGTGTTTTCTGCAGATTTCCTGTAAAAGCAAAAGCTTCTCCATTATTTGAAATTAGATTTGGATGTACAGTTTATTGAGTAATAGGTGCATTTGTTATGTTATTCTTGATTAAATGTTTCTTAATATAATTTATTGCATCTGCAAAGCTCTTTCAGTTACTGTCACTTACATGGTGCTTCCTATAGAAAGAAAAGATTTGCCTTACATTTCTTGCTACAATCAATTCTTTATCACACATATTGTTTTTTATTTGTGTCTGGCAGCAGAGGGAAATTAATAACTCTGATTGACATTTCATTCTCTATAAACTGGGGTGTCAGCTGGTAAGATGCAGAGGCCATCTCTGCTGAAAATTTCTCCACAGATATCAAAATGCAAATTGGGAGAAAAAAAAAGAGCTGTGCTGATGCAGTTCTTACAGAATTAATGTGTCAATCCAGTCTGAGGTCTTAGTTTATGAAATGCATCAAATAAAGTACTGAAAATATGTTCTATAACTATAAATAACAGGGAAATATTGTCCTCCCCAGGGAGCTAGAGGAAGACAAGGAGATGGCAGCCTTCTTACAGTCAAAATTTCCCAAAGGTTTGGCTGAAAAAGGTGAGTTAAAGAAACCCTTGAATTGTGCTTCTAAGTCGAGGTTTAAATGTTGTATTGTTTTTTAAAGGGCATTCATCTGTATATATTATAAATAGCATAAAAACTTAGATTTGATTACACGAAAACAATCAGTGGAACTTAAAAAAGCTAACTTAGATCTACATTCTCCTTCTAAAAGTCCCTGAAGGAATGTTTTTGGGGTTTTTTTGTTCATGTTTTTTTTTTTTATGGGAATCATGAATAGATGAAAGTTCTTCTCTGCTGAAGCAGGTATTTCTAAAGACCAACAAACTATAATATCAATCTAGGTATTGAACAGGGAATGTAGAAATAAACTCCAGAATGAAATCAGTTTTTGTTAAACCATGAAATTATGTTAATGTCAAAAAATGTTTTCCTATGTGTACCCTCAGCTTTAATATATACAATTATCCTTTCAAGTCCGAATCTTTCTAGTAACAATGTGCAATATATATTATATTTACCATTATCATTAGCATGAAATGTTTTATAACGTATCACAATGATGACAAAGAAACCCAAACTAAGCAGTTTTATTGCTGCAAGAGAAGCACACTTTTTAACTCCAAAATGTTTCATGTACTTCTCCTAGGCAACTCTGAAATAAATGTGACACCAAAATGTGAATATCTGTGTATGTAAATTGAAGTTTTGCTAAATATCTCCTTTAGATCTCAACTATGACTCCTGTACTTTAATGTTAGCGGATGTGTTTGATTTTGGCGGCTGCGTCTTCCAAAGAACCCAGTCTACCTGGACTAAGTCCTTTGAACGCTGTGAAAATAAGAAGGCTGGAAGAGTTCAGCTATAGATTCCAACAGGTCCGGCCTTCTCCATCTGTCACCACCCCTCACTCAGCATTTGCTCTGTTTCCTAGCAACCGTGACAGATAACTCATAAAGCCAGCAAAGAATGGATGCTGAACGACTCACTACTGTTCTTTGCGATAATGTAATTTCTGAGGAGCCTCAGGAGCATTGTGGTTGTTGAGATATTGGATTCTATGCTTAAATGTCACTCAAGCCATTTGCATAGGGACAGATAAAACCAGACATATCTGGCTCAATAACCATTTAAAACAAATATTTTCATTAATTTTTGACAAAACTATTCCCATACTTGTATTAAATTAAACTGCACTTAGAATATTCACAGCTGCTCAGCTCCATTTCCCTTTTTCCTCTGAGCACGGAGCAGCCAGCTTGCCTTGACTCGCAATGAATTATTGGATATCCAAGGCTACGAAGGATACAGCGGACCTTTCCTTCAAAACGGATGAAAAGAAGCCTGCATTTTGTCAGCCGCATACAAAGGAGTCTTCGAATCCAAAGAGGCCATGGCACCGCGCTATGACATAATCAGTCGACAAATGGGAGCAGCCAGATTCGAACAAAGCCAAAGTCTCACTTTATTTCTCCTAGTAAATTTTAGGAGAAACACATGAGAAACATTAGAGACAAAATACAAACTAAATTGAGGCTGGGATTAGAAACTAAAACATGTCTTATGAGCTATATTATAGAAGAGCAAACTGCTAGCAGTAGTATTTTCCTCTGGGTTATTCAATCAGCAACATTCACCATTATTGTTACTTTTTGCTTGTTTTCCAAAGATCCAACAGTGCTACAAGAAGTTACATTCTTTAGATAAAGAGCTTTGGATTTTATAAAGTATAAGTGTTTTCCATCTTTTTGTCTCATTCAGGTGCCGTGCAAGATCAGAGGGTTGCTACCAAATCCCAGCAGACATCGAATTCAATTCTTTCTAAAACTGGATTATCACTGCTAAAGGACTGCTGTGGCTTTACCTGTTCTGTCATGTAGAAGAGGAAAAACCTGAGGCTGCATGAGTGTTGAAATACTAATTAGATTCTTCAGTGTTTTTTGTGTATCTGTTGTTTCCTTTTAACAATTATATACAACACCATAAAAAAGGCGTTAAGTCCCTTTAAACTTTTATCACATGATAACCACAAACATCCTTGTATTTGAAAAGCTTTTTCTGTATAGAAAACACAAAGCAGTCCATGACTGTCTAATAATACAAATCATATCTGAAAAGTGTGGCGTACATTTTATTTGGCCCCATGTCTGTGGTTGCTTGAAGGAAAATACAAAAAATAAAAAACAGAAGTTAAGTCCAATCCAAATGCAATACTTTTAGGAAAACTGTGCTGCACTTGCTTTATTGGTGTCAAAGAGTGTGGATGTTTGGAAGGCAGAGAAACGCCATCGGCTCATGTGGATGGTGAGAATTAGACTGGGCATAGAAATAAGTGCACCTCTACGATTTCAAACTTAAGGCCAGTAGCAACACATACGATTTGTTTTCAATCGGATCTTTTAAGCAAAATCTCAAACTGAGGTAAAAAACCAGGCAATGATCACAGGGAGGCAGATAAACAATACCGATTTAGATGAGCAGGAAGTGATTGTAGGTCCAAGGGCAGAATGTGGGTTGTAGTCCAGATATATGGTTTACAGAGAGAAATAGTCTATGACATGTTCTCCTAAACATTTCAGTCTGTAGCTGTAAATATAACAATGCAAAACACTGGTGACCATCTAAAAAACACATCCAATACCCTCATATTTATTTATAAATATAATTTTTTTGAATTGCACGTATTTTCAGGGCATTTTTTGCATATATAATCATTTTTTATTATATTATTATTTAAGTCATAATCCTAAGCATATTTTTAATTATTCAGTTGCAAATACATGAATCAATATTACATTTGCTTATGTCTTTGTCAATTGAGGTATTTTTTGGCCCTACGTGTACTTCAGGGATCACATCACAATTATATGAAAACCATCTTGTGATCTCCAACTTGGGGCTTGGGGTCTGAGACGACCTGGGGGATCCTGACCCCCGTTTTAGGAACCATTGGTCTAGGCAAGGCAAAAGAAGAGAAATTCAATTGACTTGAAGAGTACCCAATAACAAGAAGTCAGGAGAAACAAAGACCAGGAGACTGAGGTGAGCTTTAATAGAGCAGGGAGACAATCAGGCATGGTAGAGGTGCACTAAATCTATGGGATTAGCTATCAGTTAGGAATAGAAGACTTGATGGTAATCCAAAACATAAACCTGACATGGAGAGACATGAATCATAACATTAGTTCTAGGTTGTTTTTTTCTAGGATTGCCTTGTATCAAACTCTGCCCATGTTCCCATTGACTCTGACCAGTTTAAGAAATAAGCCTCCAGAAGAAATAATCTCCTGCAGTTTAATGCAGCCATCACCAGGTTTCATTGTGGAGATGGTGAGAGCAGTGCATGGTGTAGTTTTAATTATCTACCCTATATAGAATTAAGACAGAGTTGTATTATGCCTTACCAAACCAGAGCATCTTCTTTTCTTCAGGAAAACTGTCAATAACATAAAATTCAATTAAATGCAAAGAAAGATCTATATCCCTCTGAACATAGCATTCCCAAATGTTGGTGGTAGTATCATGTTGTTGGGCTTATTTGCTTCAGTAGCTTTAGAGGCTGTAAAAGACTTGAGACTGTGGAGAAAGATTAACCTCAATCATCCCAGATCATCCCAAACTGTCCTGCTACAGTTTCTAAACCAGGACAGGTTTAGAAACTGTGGCAGGACAGGAAAATAGATTTTCAGAACAATCTCTGTCCTTTTTGGAGGAGTTGAGGTATTTTGCTTAGTAAAATGGGCAGAAATCTTAATGTCTCTGTATCCAAAGTAAGAAGAATGTTTTAAAAAATGAAATGAGGCTGAATGTCCCAGTAGAAACCAGGAAATCTTTTGTTAATTGTGCTACATTTTCCGTTAATTGATTATTCGTGAATTTAACAGTTTTTAATGTGAATGTAAAACTCACCAATATTTCTCTTAATCCAAAACTGAAGTTTTCAATATATTAGCAGTATATTACCTTGTGCATTCACAAAAATGTTTCCTATTTAAACACTTAAATGTTTTGTATATTAACTGTATATATCCCTGTGTGGAAAATCGTGCAGCTTTAATGCGTTACAGTTTTGACTCCGGGGGTTGAAACTCCTCAGATTTAAATCCATAAAATAATAAAGTCATCTTCAGAAATATGTACTAATTTGTTGGATTGAATCAAATAGAATCCCATTAAAATAAACTGGGGTTTATGTTTGTAACACAACAAAAGGTGAAAGGGTTCAAGGTGGTACAAATACTTAAATACATGAAGAAAAATATAGAACCGTCCACTGGCATCCTACAGCTTTACTGCCATGACAACGGGATCAGAGGGTGTCCTGTACGTAGTGTCAGCTGGGAGCATCGTTCTCTGTAATGAGGATGAAACCAGATGGTTTCTGTTCCAAACTCAGCCTTCTTCCCCCTCTAACCCACTTGTGACTCATGCAGATGAGTTACAGCCTAATTGCTCTACAATCTGTCAAGAAAATCCTTCCTAAACAAGTATTTTTGTTATTTCTTTTGATTAAGTTATTTTGCTTTCATTTTTTCTAAAATGTGTGGTGCCTCATTGTTCCTCTATAATGGCAGTTGTTAGAAGCCATCACAGCTGGTTGCACACAAGCAGATGTGGAAAGAGGCATGCAATATTCTCCACTGTCCTCAGCCTTCAGGCTGAGGAGAGCAATCAGTGGGCTGCAAACTGTGAGCATAGACTAGTATACAGCCAGCCAAGGCTAATTAGAAGGAAGAGAGGAAACAGTTTGTTCCTGAATGCAGTCCTAGCTGTTATAGCTCTACCAATCATCATCTTATTTATTTATTTTTTTTATTTTTTATATCTTATTATTTGGTATTAACTCTCAGTCATGTTCATCTGCGAAATTAAAATTACCTCCAGTTTCAGCCGATACATTGCACCAGATATTACAAAGATTGGATAAATTTTCATCGTAGCCCTTTCTGTATTATAAGTGTTGAAATTTTGTTCCTCCTGAACATTTTCCTCAAAATGTATAAATAAAACAGGGATTTAACAAACTAAATCTTTACCAACACTCAAAATTCTTATGGAAAAAGCATTTTTTTTTCTTTTAACTATGTTACAACATGCATGCTGCTGTAACATTCAGCCACTTAAACTACTTTAATCCTCAGATGTGAACTCTGCTGAGCTGCATCTGAGCCACATTTGCATGGAGTTATTTTGGCTGTAAAACTATTTCTGAGCCTAATCTGAAGATCAACATTCATAATTTGGGAAATGTCAAAGGACATAACTACAAGTTTAATTCTTCCAACCCACTTACCCACAATCATGGAAGCCCACTATCATTCCAACCTTCAGTTGTCTGTTTGCCAGCTGATTGTCATGTCCAACCATGCTAAAGCATAAAAAAACATTTAAGTTACTTCTCCAGAAGGAAAGTCGCAACCTCTGCATGGCTTCAGGGTCTCTTTGCCTACTTAAAGGTACATAGGTACCCATTATATGCCTAAATCAGAAAGACTAAAACCAGATGATTCTAAGAAAATAAGGCTATTTACTCCAAGCATCCATTTTAATAGTGCTTTAATAGTCCTTTTGAGCCTAAATAGAACCATATCGCTGGGTAAGATGAGCAGACATAAACACATGTAGCGCCATCTAGACCAGGGGTCTGCAACCTTTCATATCCAAAGAGCCATTTTGCCCCGAGTCCGACCAAG